AAGGGGACGGGGTCAAAGGACATTTGTTCTTGATGATATACAAAGCACTATAGTTGACCATGTTCTTGTGCATGATGAAAGCTGGCCTACAGGCTCATATATAGGGTTTCAATACTACTTACAGTATAATTACAGTACATAGCAATACTTTAGATGAGACAACTTTTACTTTTTTATGTACAGTAAGCACAAGTTGTACATCCTCAAACTAGTAACTGCTGAATTGATTTGTAGCCAAGCACTTCTTACATGTACTGTATTTTTGCAGAACTGAGAGATGACTGTCTGGAGGTAGAGAAAGTCTGACAAATAATATGTATTGCTGTATGTACAGCAACTGACAGTATGTTTTATTGTGTATTCATATTCAATTCTTTGCTATTTGACCTTTTCTTTTCTAGTGCTATTCATATACTGTAAGATCTCTTTACAATAGTGTAATGAAAGTAAACTTTTCTTAAAACTTATTGCTGAATTTTTCTATATTTGCACCCATTTATGCTGCATACTGTAACAGACTTGCAAAATGATTCCTGATTCCCAAAAGGAGGTTTTTGTAACAGTGTTTTGAATTGATCTCACTGGTGTTCTCTGGGCAGTGAAGTAGTCTGTGTATTTGACAGGTTTGTGTGTCATCTGAGACCAAAGATTAGATTCTGAGAATGTTTTTGACTAAAATATTTGATTTTGACCTGGAAGACCGAAGATTGTTCAAATTGGTGCGTAGTTTTGAAATTGTGTTTATAGTTGTGAGAAAATGGTTAATTGTTTTATGAATTGTGTTTTGGCAATCGAGAAAAACTGTAATGAGGCCATTTCTCAAAACATTTCGCAGAGATACTCAGCTGGGTTCCTCAAGAGTTTTAAGGTTTAAGAAAACTTCTTCACATATTATATACATCTTAAAGCACAAAAACCAAAGTCTCAAAAAGTTCAATATTATTGCTCTGACAATTATGAGCTGCTGACTACATAAAAGCTGTCACTTTCTGTGGCATTTGTAGAAGATGAATAAAGGCATAAATTTTGACACAAACTTTTATTTTAATTTTTAAATTAAAAGTATAAATATATCTTTATATAGATTTTTTATTATATGTACATGTACATTTTT